TCAACGCAAGAAGCAATGATTAGAAGAGTCAGATACCACGGTTTGGATGTTTTCAGCTTGTTTTCCATTATTTGAAGTTTTAAATGAGTTGCTTTGTGAAAAGTAGGATGTTGGAAAGATTTCTGCTCCTTACTTTTGTTTATTTTTGTTTTGTTAGCTCTTCACTTATCATCACTTAATACGTTCAGAGGATTGTTACACAGATGCTATGTCAGGAAAGAAACAAAGGTTTTCAAAGCTTTAAGCTTTGGCCTCCAGACAAATAACACCCCTTCGAATTCCCGGGAGTGCTCGCTGCAACTTTTGTGCTACTTTAAAATCGACTAGATCGGGCTTCCCTGGTGGTGCAGTGGTTGAGAGTCCGCCTGCCGATGCAGGGGACAGGGGTTCGTGCCCCGGTCCGGGAGGATCCCACATGCCGCGGAGCGGCTGGGCCCGTGAGCCATCGCCGCTGAGCCTGCGCGTCCGGAGCCTGTGCTCCGCGGCGGGAGAGGCCACAGCAGTGAGAGGCCCACGTACCGCAAAAAAAAAAAATCGACTAGGTGGATTTCCCCCAAACAATTAGAGTCCAGTCAGTGCCCGTGAAAATCCATTTCCAAACCATCTCATTCCACCGCTATGGTCTTCTACAATTGAGCGTGTGAAAATACCCACAACAGGCTTTGCAAAGCCGAGACTCAGGGACGATGCAGACCATGTGGGACCCTCGTGTGCATCCCCACAGCCCCCTTTGCCTCTCCCGGGACCCAGTCTCGCAACAGACACCCCGGTGCTGAGGGGCCCCGAGGGACGCCTCCTCTCTCTGAGGCCCAGGTCCTCCAGCCCCTTTCTCCAGTCTCCCCCTGCCGCCCCCTCGGTCTCTCCACACGCAGCCCCTGCTGGAAGCATCCAGCCTCTTCGGGAGCTGAGGTCCTGCCTGTGTCGGCACAACATTTATGCCCTGGGCACCGCGCTGGAGATACTGTCATTTTAAAAGAGAGAGAGAGAGAGTTATGGGCCTGGCACTTATGTTCAACTACCAGACAGATTTTCTCTCAGAGGGTGTTGGGTCTGTGACAGATCACAGATGTTCTTTGCTTACAAGCTAGTAACTAGCCTGTTGCTGGTTCATCGGTGATGCTCAGATCCGAAGCTTCGTTGCTCCCCTCACGGGGAACGGCGTGAGCCCCGGCCTGTGGCTCCTTTACCCGGACTTCCGAGGGGCCATGCGAGGTGGTGGGTGGGTGCTGTGTGTGCAGTGTTGGTGGCACGGCTGAGGGACGGTGAATTGGGGGCCCTGGTCTCATAGACAGCGCTCGGGAGGGATGCTCTTGGTCTCCGCGGGAGACGCTGCCTCGCCCTGCAGGCTGTGAACAGCGAGCTGGGCCCTGAGCGATGGCCCCGGAAGCAGCAGTCAGGGCATCGCCCTCATGGCACACCCCACACGTGGGGTGGGGGGGACGGGCCTGGAGCGTGGCTTCCCTGCTGTGAGCGTTTGTTCTGCACCTGCAAGATACCAGGTGCCCGTGCTGAGATCATTGGGCGACAGGTTTTTTACTGTTTCTCCCGTTGCCTTTTCCCTGTTTCAAACCCCACTTTCTCCCATGATTCCCTTCCTGTGGTCTCCGCCAGGTCGAGTCTGCTGGACCCCTGTGATCTGAGCCCCAGGGGGAGGCCAGACCTTGTGTGCAGGCCGGGTCAGCTGGCCCCCAGCTGGCGAGGCTCGCACACCACGCGGGTGGGAGAGGGTCCTTGGACAGAACTCCTCTTACATGTGACTTTCCTTCATAAACATTACAGCCTCATCCTGATGAATCCTTGACCTTCTGTGGTGCCCCTGAAATTCTCCACGTCCAGCCTTTCTAGGTGATCCCGTGCTCACTCAGGGTATTGGACCTGTAATTTCATAAAAACTTAGGAAATGTTTCAAATGTTTAGCTCTCGTAAGAGCTTGTTTTAACTATGCAAAGAAGAAAGTCGTTTCGTGAGATATTAAACCAAGCAAAGTTGTAGAGCCTTCCACAGCCCTCATCCCCACAGCAGTCTCCCTGGGAAGTAGCGTCAGGGCACCCCCATTTGAAGCAGGACGGATGGAAGCTTCCCAAAGTGACACAGGGACTTGGCTTTTGAGGGGAGCAATTTGCTGCACACACGCAAGGCTGCTTCCTCCATGATAACCAAGAAGAGACTGGACAGGCGTCTTCATTTGAATTAAGTAAATGACACCCAGCAAATCTGCTTTGCATATTTATGCATAATAAGGAGCTGCACACAGCACAACTTCAGCAACAATTCATTACAATTGCTGGGGATACAGGGGTATTTTTGGCTGCAGTGAATGGAGCTGGATTCACCAGATCACAGGTGAAGAGCATTGCAGCTCAAGGATCGTCCACTAGAGGGCAGCAGGCCTCCTGAGGCTCAGCTGTAAACACTGAAATTAAACACTGATTTTTTAGTTAAATACATAAAGCCAGTGTCATTTTTATACCGATCTTTGTTCAAGGATGTTGAATAAACAGGGGTTGGTAAAACAACAATATACTTCAAAATGTGAGCAGTTTGATACAAGCTGTCACCAAGTTATAGTCACCCTGGAAAACGTGAAATAAGGATTATATTCTGTAACTAGCAATTCTCTGAACTGACAGGAGATGACTCAGAAAGCAAACCCCATGTTGGATTAATAAGAAAGTTAATACGATCGGTGTAGTAGGAAACGACAAATCTTTTATTTTAATCCCTAGTCACAATCAACCAGTAACTGTTGCCTCTAAGCAGCCATGTCTTGTGCAGACAATATTTATCAGTTGACACTGGGCCAAAGTGTTCACCCCACAGGGTCTCTTCCACAAACAGCCCTCTTACTCCTGCTGCAGAGGGAGCGTCTCTGGGCAGATGGCATTATAGACGGAGATGAATCGGGCACCCGTGCTGTCCACAGCTAGTCGGGGAGTTTGCACAGTACCTTGCAGGTTATATATTTCACAGATTTAATTCTTGTTTTTTTTTAAAATTAATTAATTTATTTTTTGTCTGCGTTGGGTCTTCATTGCTGCACACAGGCTTTCTCTAGTTGTGGCGAGTGGGGGCTACTCTTCGTTGCGGTGCGCGGGCTTCTCATTGCGGTGGCTTCTCTTGCTGCGGCGCACGAGCTCTAGGCACGCAGGCTTCAGTAGTTGTGGCACGTGGGCTCAGTAGTTGTGGCTCGCGGGCTCTAGAGCACAGGCTCAGTAGTTGTGTGTGGCGCACGGGCTTAGTTGCTCTGTGGCATGTGGGATCTTCCCAGACCAGGGCTCGAACCCGTATCCCCTGCATTGGCAGGCGGATTCTTAACCACTGCGCCACCAGGGAAGTGCACAGATTTAACTTTTGGTTTAACTCATAAACTATTTCACTATTTCAAGTCCACATTCATGTTTCAAATTTTTTTTTTACTTTTTTTAAAATTGGAGCATAGTTGATTTACAATGTTGTGTTAGTTTCAGGTATACAGCAAAGTGTTTCAGTTATACATACACATGTACCTATTATTTTCCCATTTAGATTATTACGGAATATTGAGTGGAGTTCCCTGTGCTATACAGTAGGGCCTTGTTCATAATTCAAATGTTTTAATCATTCTACACTTCGGGGGGAAGAAAGGAAAAAAAGAGAAACGGGTGGGGAGGGTAGAGAGCGGATGTAGGCACAGAATGGGAAAGGTTAGGATAACACCCAGTTCCTGTTTTACCTGAGGCCAGGCTGGGTCTCAAGGCCGGAGATTAACAGGGACCATTCTCCACTCTAATTTGGTTGCTTTGTTCTTGTAAAAGAAGAAAAATGAGAACTCATAAGGAATTGTGCTGAGCCTTAAGGTAACGTAGGTGACACAGCTGAGTCCCCTCCGGCAGGTGCTCAGCACCCCACAGCTGGTCCCGTAGGCTCCCCCCCTCACCAAACCTCCACGGCCGTCTGCGAGCCTGTGCCCCCAGCCCCGGGGCCCTGACTGCACAGTCGGGCTGATCCTTCGCTGACTTATTTGCTGCCACAATTTGAGCACGTTAACCCCTGAGCTCGCATTCCTCCAGTCTGTCTGAACCAAGCGTACAAATTTCCAATTCACAATTCTAAACACAAAACATATGCACTATTCACTACCTGAATAGCTCACCAAAAACAAGATACAAAAACCCTGAAACCCAGCCCCGACTGGATTCAATCCTGACTGGATTAAAACGATTCGCCCCACCCACACGCCTGCCAAGAGTGAAAGAAAAATACGTCCAGATCCTCAAACTATCTCTACAATATTTTCAGATGCAATAATCAACATTTAGTTAAAAATTTGTTGGCAGAGATAATACCAGAAAAAAAATTATCAGAAACCAAGAGATAAGAACAGACAGTAGGGCTTCCCTGGTGGCGCAGTGGTTGGGGGTCCGCCTGCCGATGCAGGGGACACGGGTTCGTGCCCCGGTCCGGGAGGATCCCGCATACCGCGAAACGGTTGGGCCCGTGAGCTATGGCCACTGAGCCTGCGCGTCCGGAGCCTGTGCTCTGCAACGGGAGAGGCCACAACAGTGAGAGGCCCACATACCGCAAAAAAAAAAAAAAAAAAAGAACAGACAGTAGAAGCAGTTTCATGGGAAATTTCAGAATCAGAGTTATGAGATGTGGCTTAAAAAGTCATGTGATTCTGTGTTCAGAGCAGATGGAGAGTCTCGCTAGAGAAGTGAAAATCATATACATAGAATCACGTGGAAATTCTAGAATGAAAAAACTGTAATAACCGAAAATGAGAACTCTAAGGCCAATTACATGTAGCGAAGGAGAAGAATTTATAGGGTCGCAGACGCGCGGAGAAAGAGGTCGTGGAGCCGAGCAGAGCGTGAGGGCCACCGCGAGGGCAGCGGCACCAGGCGAGCAGGTGGGATGTGCATGCAATCGGGGTCCCGCAAGAGGAGGAGGAGAAAACGGCCGGTGACGTCCTTCAAAACCAATCAAAGGCGTGAAGCTACAAGAAGCACCTGCACCACTAAGACGGGTAAATACAAGTCGCACCTGGGTGACCTCAGTCAGACCGCAGGACACCAAAGGCAGGGAGAAACGTATCAGGCGCCAGAAGGTACTTGAGGGGGGAGGCAGGGCAAGAGGGGGGTCCCAGTTAACTATGCTTCCCTTCTCCTCCTTCCCCCTCCCCCTCCCACCCCATTCCCCCCAGCTGAGCGGGCGCTGGGTATGGTCCCTGCGTCCCTGCAGCCTGTCCCTCCCCGCCTGGGGTGCGCCCAGCTCCGCCCACCCTGGGGTCCGGGGCGGCACGCGGGGGCGGAGAAGCCTCACTCAGTGCTTGTGCTGGCGCTTCCGGCCGGGGGCGTGTGGAGGGCTGGCGCCCCAGCAGTTTGGTCACAGACATGAGCTGCGCAGAAATACTCGAAAATCCTGGGTTTGCCAGGGGCTGGCGGGGAGAGGCGTGGGCGTGAGTGTTTCACTGGGGCAGAAAGGCAGTTCGGGAAGATGGAGAGTCGTAGGGATGGTTGTGGCACAGGGGAGGGGTCACGTCACGGGAGAAGGTGCGGAGACGGGGGCCGGGCCGGCGGCGGGGACCTCTGACACCCCGGCACAGGGAGCGAAGTGCAGCCGTGACCTGTGAGCGCCAAAGCTCTCCCTAAAGGGCCAGGAGAAAAAAAAAATTTCAAGAAAAGCCGAACAGCTTCTCGGGGCCGCGAGCCGGGCCCACAGGAAGCACCGAGTAAACACTGGGTGAGCCCTGGTGACTTAGTGGCGAAATGCATCGTCCTTCTTCTCCAGGATGATGAAATGTTTTCCCCAAGCAGACCCGGCGCTGCGGTGGATAGAGGTGGTGGAGACACTCCCTAACTCTAACCCTCGTGGCCCGAGATGCAGCCCCGGACACGCGGCTGCTCAGTCAGCGCTGCTGGAAACTCTCCTTTCACTTCTGGACTGCGTGTTGCTGTTGCAACTCCCAGGTGACGGCCCAGACGTGAGGCTGCGCCTGCCTGCTCCGGCTTCCTTGTGGGTTGTTTTGATGCTGGAAGGGGTTTAAATCTTAAGTCTCTGATAGTTTGTAAGAACATCGCATGGCGGGGCTTCCCTGGTGGCGCAGTGGTTGAGAATCTGCCTGCTAATGCTGGAGACACGGGTTCGAGCCCTGGTCTGGGAAGATCCCACATGCCGCGGAGCAACTAGGCCCGTGAGCCACAACTGCTGAGCCTGTGCGTCTGGAGCCTGTGCTCCGCAACGAGAGAGGCCGCGACAGGGAGAGGCCCGCGCGCCGCGATGAAGAGCGGTCCCCGCTTGCCACAACTAGAGAAAGCCCTCACACAGAAACGAAGACCCAACACAGCAAAAAATAAAAAATTAATTAATTAAAAAGAAGGCTCAACATTTAAAAAAAAAAAAAAAACATCGCATGGCACTCCCTCCAACCTAATACTTTCTGCAAAACAAAACCGAAGTCCCGACTCCGTAGTTCCAAACATTTTTCGAGGGTGACGGCGACCTCGGCTGTGGCCTCGGCTGTCGTCGCTCTGGGGTGACCCTGTGGCCGGATTACCAGCCACAGCTCTCCGTGCCCCCAGCTCTCCGTGTTCGGTGCCTACAGGGTACCTGGGGATCCATACACTGGAATTGAAGCTTGACCAAAACACAGGGACATTCCCCGACATTCCACACGTGGGGAGGAGGCTCCCCGCCCCCTTGAGCTGCCCGAGTCCTGAGTCGCCTGTCCAGTCGCCAGGGATAGCTGCTGAGAAGGCACTGTTCTCAGGAAAGCCCCATTCCTGCACTTTCTCTTCTCTTTTTTGCTCATGTCCACCCCGACCTTTTCCTCTTGCTCTGCCTCAAACCCCAAAGGAAGAAAACTGACCACCTAGAGGGGTGGGATAGGGAGGGTGGGAGGGAGAATTAAGAGGGAGGGGATATGGGGACATATGTGTACATATACCTGATTCACTTTGTCATACAGCAGAAACACAACAATGTAAAACAACTGTACTCCAATAAAGATGTTTAAAAAAAAAAAGAAAAAGAAAGGAAGGATATCGAGGCCAATAGGGAGGAAGAGAGGACAGGACAGGGATCCCTAACGTCCCCCCAGACATGAGAGGTTGTAGGACCACAAACCAGAATCTCCCCTCCCAGGACTGACTGCAAAGTGCTTCCTGCTTGAACCAGCCGGAATTACCGGCCACCCTCCCCTGCCCCCAGATGTGAGGGGCTGGGGCCCAGCAGCAGGGCAGCCCCCTCCCCGCCAGCTTATGACTGTGAGTCATGTGTCTGCTGACTCCACAGAACCAGCCAGAGACGAGCACGCCCTCTTTCCTGGCTGCCTCCCGCCCAGCTGGGTGAACCAGGCCCTGATACTCACAACAACCCCGGGCAACGCGTTCATTCGTGAATTACTTTCATATAGAATGAAATTCCAAGGATATTTGGAATTGACTTAAATTTCTATGAATTCTATGTAGTCCAAGGATGTGGTGCAGTAGTTAGATGTTCTGCAGGTGAGACCACGAAATTGAAACCCAGCCCTGATGCTTCTGAAGCTTGCCAAATGCGTGCAGCCGCGAAACTTCAGTGGTGAAGCCATGGCCTCCTGGGTATGAAAGCTTTGCTCCCAGCAGCATCTAGTGGAGGCGGGATGTGGATTAGGTGGGACCCCTGGGTTTCTGTGAAGGATCCCGTTACAGGTTGAATTGCCCCCCCCCACCCCCCAGAATAGATATATTGGGTCCTAACCCCTGGCACCTCAGAATGTGACCTTATTTAGAAATAGGGTCTTTATAGAGGTAATCAAGTTAAAATGAAGTCATTAGGGTGGGTCCTAGTGCAACATGACACGTGTCCTTATGAAAAGGGGGTCTGGACACAGCACGTGAGGACTGGCAGTGTGCTGCCACCAGCCAGGAGGGAGGCCTGGAACAGACCCTCCCCTGCGCCTCCCAAGGGAGCTCGGCCCCCAGAGCTGTGAGAAAATAAATCCCTGTTGCTCTAAGCCGCCCGGTTGTAGCACTTGGTTACAGCAGCCCCAGGACACCAACAGGACCTAAAGTGAGAGGGACTGTGTCCTGAGTGCAGGCGGCCGGGCCTGAGCCTGCCTCCCGGCTGGGCACTTCTCAGCAGTGTGAACACACAATTTCTCTGCACTGATTTCCTTATTGTATGCACATATTATACATCCACATTCTAAATAGAATGACAGATACGGACATAGATGTGGTCATGGGTACACGCTGGCTGCACCCATGTCTTAGCTCCGGCTGCTGTAACTACCCCAGGGGTTGGGGGCTTAAACGGCAGACGTTTACTGCTCACATTCTGGAGGCTGGACGTCCAGATCCCGTGTCTGGTGAGGACAGACAGACCCCCTTCCAGGTTCATCGATGGCATCTTCTCCCTGTGTCCCCAGGTGGCAGGGAGGGGATGGGGGTGGAGAGAGAGAGCTCTTATCAGGGCACTGGTCCCATCACGGGGGCTCCACCCTCGTGACCTCATCACCTCCCAAAGGCCCCCTCCCAACACCGCCACCTTGGGGTTAGGAGTCCACGTATGGACTTTGGGGACACACACACTCAATCTATAGCAGGCCGTATGGGATAAATGAGAAGAGGTGCCTCTTTTTCTCCTGGACCAGGAGCTCTTGGCAGGCAGTGAGTGATGCCGAATCATCACTTCACGTTTCCACCCCAGCGACGGCCTAACCAGCACGTAGTGGACACTGAACGAGGGTCTGAGCCACTGGGCTCAACCGTAACCCTCACGCGGAACCCCTGCAACCGCCCGGAGCACCCTGCACGGGGCCCGGGGTGCAGCGCCTGCAGGGACGCCCCGCACAGTGGTGGTTGTGTGGCCCCAAGGTGCTTTATGTGCGGAGTTTACAATTTAATGTTTAAATTCTTCCATGTCTCAGATGACTGAGCTCAGAGTGATTTCGCCTAAAACAGGAGCCTCTCCACGGATCCAGGCAGCCCCTGCCCTCCCCCACCTGAAAGGTCCCCAGTGGCGCCCAGATTCGTCACATTGCCCCCCCCAGCTGCACCCCAGTTCCAGGCCAGCCTTGGGTGCCCCACAGTCTTCTGCTTCCTGCTTGTTGATAATTTAATGTCTGTTACCAAAATGGTCATTAAGAAGCTAAATTAAGGCCTGGATTGGAGATGGATGGTGTCAGCGTCTGGGTAGCACCCCGTCCCAGATTCACGCATGAGCCTTTGCATCACTGGCTCATGGGTTTACTTTACAGAAAGAACTTTCAAGGCAGCTTGACTTGAATTTACAAGTCATATGTCAACAGGAGACAGGAGGACAGAAGCTCTGCAGACCTTATCTGTTCCTCTTTTTCTTTTTTTTTTTTTTAAACATCTTTACTGGAGTATAATTGCTTTACAATGTTGTGTTAGTTTCTGCTGTATAACAAACTGAATCAGCTATACATATACATGTATCCCCATATCCCCTGCCTCTTGCATCTCCCTCCCACCCTCCCTGTCCCACCCCTCTAGGTGGTCACAAAGCACCGAGCTGATCTCCCTGTGCTATGCGGCTGCTTCCCACTAGCCATCTATTTTACATTTGGTAGTGTATGTATGTTTATGCCACTCTCTCACTTCATCCCAGCTTACCCTTCCCCCTCCCCGTGTCCTCAAGTCCATTCTCTACGTCTGCGTCTTTATTCCTGTCCTGCCCCTACGTTCGTCAGAACCATTTTTTTTTTTTAGATTCCATATATATGTGTTAGCGTACGGTATTTGTTTTTCTCTTTCTGACTGACTTCACTCTGTATGAAAGACTTTAGGTCCATCCACCTCACTACGAATAACTCAATTTCGTTTCTTTTTATGGCTGAGTAATATTCCATTGTATATATGTGCCATGTCTTCTTTATCCATTTGTCTGTCGATGGGCACTTAGGTTGATTCCATGTCCTGGCTATTGTAAATAGTGCTGCAATGAACATTGGGGTGCATGTGTCTTTTTGAATTATGGTTTTCTCAGGGTATATGCCCAGTAGTGGGATTGCTGGGTCATATGGTAGTTCTATTTTTAGTTTTTTAAGGAACCTCCATACTGTTCTCCATAGTGGCTGGATCAATTTACATTCCCACCAACAGTGCAAGAGGATTCCCTTTTCTCCACACCCTCTCCAGCATTTGTTGTTTGTAGATTTTCTGATGATGCCCATTCTGACTGGTGTGAGGTGATGCCTCATTGTAGTTTTGGTTTGCATTTCTCTGATAATTAGTGATGTTGAGCAGCTTTTCATGTGCTTCTTGGCCATCTGTATATCTTCTTTGGAGAAATGTCTATTTAGGTCTTCTGCCCATTTTTGGATTGGGTTGTCTGTTTTTTTAATATTGAGCTGCATGAGCTGTTTATATATTTTGGAATTTAATCCTTTGTCAGTTGCTTCGTTTGCAAATATTTTCTCCCATTCTGAGGGTTGTGTTTGCATCTTGTTTGTAGTTTCGTTTGCTTTGCAAAAGCTTTTAAGTTTCATTAGGTCTCATTTGTTTATTTTTGTTCTTATTTCCATTTCTCTAGGAGGTGGGTCAGAAAGGATCTTGCTGTGATTTATATCAAAGTGTTTTCTGCCTATGTTTTCCTCTAAGAGTTTTACAGTGTCTGACCCTACATTTAGGTCTTTAATCCATTTTGAGTTTATTTTTGTGTATGGTGTTAGGAAGTGTTCTACTTTTATTCTTTTACATGTAGCTGTCCAGTTTTCCCAGCACCACTTATTGAAGAGGCTGTCTTTTCTTGCCTCCTTTGTCAAAGATAAGGTGACCATATGTGCATGGGTTTATCTCTGGGCTTTCTATCCTGTTCCATTGATATGTATTTCTGTTTTTGTGCCAGTACCATACTGTCTTGATTACTGTAGCTTTATAGTATAGTCTGAAGTCAGGGAGCCTGATTCCTCCAGCTCCGTTTTTCTTTCTCAATATTGCTTTCTCTATTCGGGGTCTTTTGTGTTTCCATATAAATTGTGAAACTTTTTGTTCTAGTTCTGTGAAAAATGCCATTGGTAGTTTGATAAGGATTGCACTGAATCTGTAGATTGCTTTGGGTGGTAGAGTCATTTTCACAATGTTGATTCTTCCAATCCAAGAACATGATATATCTCTCCATCTGTTTGTATCATCTTTAATTTCTTTCATCAGTGTCTTATAGTTTTCTGCATACAGGTCTTTTCTTTCCTTAGGTAGGTTTATTCCTAGGTATTTTATTCTTTTTGTTGCAATGATAAATGGGAGTGTTTCCTTAATTTCTCTTTCAGATTTTTCATCATTAGTGTATAAGAATGCAAGAGATTTCTGTGCATTAATTTTGTATCCTGCTACTTTACCAGATTCATTGATTAGCTCTCATAGTTTTCTGGTAACATCTTTAGGGTTCTCTATGTATAGCATCATGTCATCTGCAAACAGTGACAGTTTTACTTCTTCTTTTCCCATTTGAATTCCTTTTATTTCTTTTTCTTCTCTGATTGCTGTGGCTAAAACTTCCAAAACTATGTTGAATAATAGTGGTGAGAGTGGGCAACCTTGTCTTGTTCCTGATCTTAGAGGAAATGGTTTCAATTTTCCACCATTGACAACAATGTTGGCTGTGTGTTTGTTATATATGGCCTTTGTTATGTTGAGGTAGGTTCCCTCTATGCCTACTTTCTGGAGAGTTTTTATCATTAATGGGTGCTGAATTTTGTTGAAATCTTTTTCTGCATCTATTGAGATGATCATATGGTTTTTATTCTTCAATTTGTTAATATGGTGTATCACATTGATTGATTTGCATATATTGAAGAATCCTTGCATTCCTGGGATAAACTGCACTCAATCGTGGCCTGTGAGTCTTTTAATGTGCTGTTGGATTCTGTTTCCTAGTATTTTGTTGAGGATTTTTGCATCTATGTTCATCAGTGATATTGGCCTGTAGTTTTCTTTTTTTGTGACATCTTTGTCTGGTTTTGGTATCAGGGTGATGGTGGCCTCATAGAATAAGTTTGGGAGTGTTCCTCCCTCTGCTATATTTTGAAAGAGTTTGAGAAGGATAGGTGTTAGCTCTTCTCTAAATGTTTGATAGGATTCACCTGTGAAACCATCTGGTCCTGGAGTTTTGTTTGTTGGAAGAGTTTTAAACACAGTTTCAATTTCAGTGCTTGTGATTGGTCTGTTCATATTTTCTGTTTCTTTCTGGCTCAGTCTTCGAAAGTTGTGCTTTTCTAAGAATTTGTCCATTTCTTCCAGGTTGTCCATTTTATTGGCATATAGTTGCTTGTAGTAATCTCTCATGATCTTTTGTATTTCTGCAGTATTAGTTGTTACTTCTCCTTTTTCATTTCTAATTCTGTTGATTTGAGTCCTCTCCCTTTTTTTCTTGATGAATCTGGCTAATGGTTTATCAATTTTGTTTATCTTCTCAAAGAACCAGATTTTAGTTTTATCGATCTTTGCTATTGTTTCCTTCATTTCCTTCATTTCTTTTCCATTTATTTCTGATCTGATCTTTATGATTTCTTTCCTTCTGCTAACTTTGGGGGTTTTTTGTTCTTCTTTCTCTAATTGCTTTAGATGTAAGTTTAGCTTGTTTATTTAAGATTTTTCTTGCTTCCTGAGGTGGGATTGTATTGCTATAAACTTCCCTCTTAGAATTGCTTTTGCTGCATCCCATAGGTTTTGGGTCCTCATGTTTTCATTGTCATTTTTTTCTAGGTATTTTTTTTATTTCCTCTTTGATTTCTTCAATGATGTCTTGGTTATATAGTAGCATAATGTTTAGCCTCCATGTATTTGTATTTTTTACAGTTTTTTTCCCTGTAATTGATATCTAGTCTCATCGCATTGTGGTTGGAAAAGATACTTGATATGATTTCAATTTTCTTAAATTTACCAAGGCTTTATTTGTGACCAAGATATGGACCATTCATGGAGAATGTTCCATGAGCACTTGAGAAGAAAGTGTATTCTGTTGTTTTTGGATGGAATGTCCTAAAAATATCAATTAAGTCCATCTTCTCTAATGTGTCATATAAAGCTTCTGTTTCCTTATCTATTTTCATTTTGATGATCTGTCCATTGGTGAAAGTGGTGTGTTAAAGTCCCCTACTATGATTGCGTTACTGTCAATTTCCCCTTTTATGGCTGTTAGCCTTTGCTTTATGTATTGAGGTGCTCCTATGTTGGGTGCATAAATATTTACAATTGGTATATCTTCTTCTTGGATCGATCCCTTGATCACTATGTCGTGTCCTTCTTGTCTCTTGTAATAGTCTTCATTTTAAAGTCTACTCTGTCTGATATGAGAATTGCTCTTCCAGCTTTCTTTTGATTTCCATCTGCATGGAATGTCTTTTTCCATCCCTTCACTTTCAGTCTGTATGTGTTCTTAGGTCTGAAGAGGGTCTCTTGTAGACAGCATATATATGGGTCTTATTTTTTGTGTCCATTCAGCCAATTTGTGTCTTTTGGTTGGAATGTTTAATCCATTTACATTTAAGGTAGTTATTGACATGTATGTTCCTATTACCATTTTCTTAATTGTTTTGGGTTTGTTTTGGTAGGTCTTTTCCTTCTCTTGTGTTTCCTGCCTAGAGAAGTTCCTTTAGCATTTGTTGTAAAGCTGGTTTGGTGGTGCTGAATTCTCTTAACTTTTGCTTGTCCTGCGTGTTTACATGTGGTCTGCTCAGCCTGGGAGGGGCAGTCCTCCCTGGTCAGACAGGCCCCAAGATATCAAAGCATCGTAAATACAGACAATAAAAAACATCCTTAATACACAAACACAACGCTTTAAACCAAGTTTGACTTTCTCAATTGGGAATACATTCTGTTTTATAGCAATATCTCTTCTTCTTTTGGAATGGATCAGGGTTAACTGAAATGGCTGTGGTGACTTGTTCACTTTAATATTCTTAGAGCACATGCTGAAGAAAAAGTTTATGAAACAAACTTTATAATCTAAAGCATTATCTACATGGGTATTATTATTTTCTACAATATAGTAACTACCCTGAGCTCAGGCCCTGTCTCTTCTCTCGGTATTTGTAAACGCTAGCACAAACCATTCTGTTATTTTCTTAAGTAAATTGTGTACTAGCAAGAAGTTCACTCCCAGGTACCTGGAGGTTGAAAGCACATTGATTTTCGGGGTTAATATTTATTGGTAGAAAAGAACAAAAGACCAGTCGGCAGTGTGCAGACATAAAGCCACCCTGTCTGCACTTTTGTTGGAAAATGTGACTCTTAGGTCAGCGCGTGTCAATGTCACCCCAACATGGTGAGTTTTACCTGGTGAAGGCGAGACCATCTCCTGTTGGACCCACTGAAGGCTTCGTCCTAAGTCTTGCTGCCTCTCTTTACCTTCAGATGACTTACACTAAACAGGTTTGCCAGCTGGGCTCGGGTTTGGATGTGGTGCCAGGCCACCCTGCCCCACGCCAGGTGTGACCACGGCCCAGGTGTGACGTATGGGCGTCCTGTGGTCCTCGTGCTGGGTGACTCTTGTGCAGAATGACTCAGACCTTGCTTGTAACATGCCTCACGCCTACCAAGTAATTATTAAGACCAGAGTGGCTCTGCCCTGGTCTTACTGAGCAGACGGCGTCGTGAGAAGAAGTGATTGTCTGGTTATCGGTGGCCCTCAGTCCATGGTGAGCTGGAGAGCCTTGGGACCTGGCTCCTTCACGATGACTTTGGTTCAGTGACTTTAACAAGAGAGAAAGACCTCAGAATCGGGAGTGTATTTCCTAATTGCCGTTGATGGTTTCTGGTCAGCTGATCCGAAGTCTCACATCCTTGTCTCTGCATCAGACAGGGCAGTTCCCAGGGAGGGAAACTGGAAACCAGGTTTTCGTCGTTTGGCGATTTTGCAAATGTCCCATCTCAGTGTGTGGCTTTTTGAATCTGCCTACCTTACAACATTCTACGCGACATTTTGAAAACACTAAATTCCATTTTCCGTTATATGCCTATGTATTTGATCTGTGTATCACATTGTGCTGTGTTTGGAGGGTGGGGGAAGGGAGGGCGAATTTTGAGCCTGTACATTTGTTTCTAAGATAATAACCGAGGTGAAAGATCAAGGGTATTAATCACTCTGTGGATATGAATTAAGCATTTCTCAAAGTTGCACTTGACCCTCCAGGTCACCTGAATACCATCTGGTACCAACCCAAGAGATGGAACTGGACCGACTAGTTTGGGGGCCTCTCTGCAGGGTTTCAGTTTGTAACTGGGGCACTTTCTCCCCCGGCCCCCCCATGGCTGACACTTCTCTGTTGAGAGCTCCGCCCAATGCATCATCGTAGGGCGTGTAGCATCATCTCCGGCCCCAACCCACTAGATGCCCATGGCACCTCCGCCCCACCCCCACCGGCTGTGAAAACCAAAAATGTCCGGACTTGGCCCTGAGGGAGGTGGTCGACCTGAAAAGCACAGCCTGGCTCTGTATCCCTTGAACCAACATAATCTTATCGAGGCGTTTTTAAAAACTGGTTGTTCCGGTGTTTGGCCAACTGAGATTTAAGGATTCTTTGTGTGCCAAGATAATTACATCCATTAGCTTTAAGGTCATCATTTGCAACAGAGAGAACCCGGCCCTGACTTATATGACACTCAAGGAGCAGAAGCCTTGATGCTGGAAGAGATTTTAGACCAATCTCATCTTTTCGTGTTTGTGGCTCAGAGAGGTTAATCCACCCTTCCAGGGTTACAAGCCAGTAGGAGTAAAAGCTGGAAGAGTCGAGCCCCCAGTCTGAGCCTTTAGCGCATTTTGAGACTCTTGGATCCAAGCCATAGGCACCATGTTTTGTGGTTCAAAATATGTTTTTCAGAAAAAGAAATGGACATAATGAATACTCATAGGAGCAGGAATGATTCTAAGAAGACACGTTTTTCTATGAAAAATGTTTTTTCTTTCCAGGAAGCTTTCTTTCTTTCTTTTTTTTTTTTTTCACCTTTAAAAATATATATTTACAGGAACAATTCCCAATTCTCTGGGACTCTTAGAAAAAAAGATCCATTTTGGGGGAAGTAAAACAAACAGTGGAGACAGGTGTAGCATCGTCCCCCAAATCACCAACCCCCAGGTCCCCAGGCCCAGGCTGCGCCGGTGCTGACGGGAGGTGAACCCAGGAGTCCTTTGAACCCACCCTTCTCCAGCCTGGAATTCACACGGGACAGGCTTTATGTCCCTCATTCCTCCCTCCCAACTCCAGGGACACTTAAAGGGTCCTTTGTACCCACCCGCAGGAAATTGGGGGGCTGGGAGGGAGGGAGCTGAAAATACACGTTTGGTATCAAAAATAAACACTTGGGGGTGGCAGGAAGACCCCCCCAAAACCCCTTCCTTCCCACCCACCCTATCTCATGTAGGAAGAGATGCCTCCCTCTCCCCTATTGAAAAGCCCTGTTTAAAAATAGATTATACTATCAAAATGGCAGGGGGTGGGGGACAGGGAGACCTGGAGTACTGGTTGGAGGGGCCCCCCAGACGGGGACCACTCCCCCAAAAAACCCTCCATTGGGAGGTAACAGGCAGGACCCCAGGAGTTTGGATTCCTCCCCGGCCAAAAAAGGTGCTTGAAAAAGGACAAGCTGTCTGCGAGAAAGGCCGGGAGGTGGATATGCCGTTCCCAAGGGTGTGAGTCTTCCTTGGCCAAAACCCCCAAACCGTTAAACAGCACAAATTCTTCCTGGACCCTTGGGGAGCGCCAGGAATAATAACCTACAGCAATCTAGCTCTTCTACCCACACCCCAAAATGGAGACAGGGCTCCCTCAGCTCCCCAAGGGCAGCCTGAGAAATAAATAAGGAAAGTTCCTTCTCAAGCCAGACCCCGACTGTCTCATCTTGGGGAAAAAATGGGGAGATGGGGGAGATGCCCTCGCCCACCCCCCCCCCCCCCCCCCCGCAAAGAGGGCCAGGCTCCTCCCAGTGGCCTTCAAAAAATAAATAAATAAACCGTCCCCACCACTGCAGTAGGAGACGTGTAAGAGCGGCCACTGGGGGACTGACCAAGAAGGGAGAAGTTGTATGTTTTCTGTGGAAGGGTTACTGAGAGATCCTCTTTCCTAAGAATCCCCACCCAACCACGACCACAGCACGAGTCTGTCAGCTGAACTGTGTTTCTCCTTGAGACGGCTGGCTGGAGAGAAGTTCAGGGCATGGATGGAGTGACCCCAGAAAGGGGTGGTGGTGGTGGTGGTGATAGTCATGGCTTCTGGGGCCCTGGGGAGAGCACCACGGGGGGTGAGAGGCCATCCACGCTGATGGAAGGGATGTGCACCTGGGCGCTGCCACTGGACGGAAACTGGAAGGAGAGCTTGGCCGGGCTACGTACGGGGTGCAGTGGGACTCAGGGTGCTCCAGAAGTGAATACTGGGGGGCAGCGAGCTGGGCGTCAGCAGCACCGGGGTCAATGTGTGCGTAGGTAGCAGGGAAGCCCACCAGCACCGCAGTTTCCATAACGACCTCAGGCAGCCGGGCTGGCACGCCCTCCGCGGGGGGGGGGGGGGGGGGGGGGGGGGGCGGCCTTGGGTTCTAAGGGCTCGGCCTTGACGGCTTCCAGGACAAACCCCGCCTCCCCAGTGGCTGAGGCTTCTACCTCTTCCTTGGGCTCTTCCACTTCGACTGATGGGGGCAGTGGCCGGCCCAACCCAGGCTCCATGCTTGGCTCTTCGGATTTAAGGTTTGGGGCCTCGGGTGGGGTCAGGATGACCTGCAGAGGCAGGCCGGCCTCCTCAGCCTCCAGGCAGGCCTCCGAGGGGCTTGCACTGCTGCCCCTGCAGGGGCGGTGTTGAGGAGCACTGTGGAAGGCCGAGGATGAGGGCGGCTGCGGCTGCGGCTGCAGGGGCTGGATGGGGAAGGTGGAATAGAGGCCCGAGCGCATGAAATCGTTCCGGCTGCTGCGCGCCAAGCCGCCCGGGCCTGCCACTCCTGCACCCCTGGGTGTGCCTGGCTTCCCAGAGGCAGTGTCCCCGGGGACGGCGTGTACAGCTGTGGTGCTCGCATCTGCCACAGTGGAGGTGGCAGCCACCTCAGGCTGGGGCGGGCAGTCCTCAGTGGAGCACCCCGCGACCTCGGGGTAGGACACAAACTTGTAGACGAACTTCCGGCCACTCACGTTGCGGGTGATGTTCTTATCATAGTGGTACCGCCAGGCCCGGCTGGGCTTGTCACAGTTCACGTTGGTCTTATTCTTGCACAGCCCCCAGAGCCGGGCCACCCACTCAGCCTCCACCAGCTTGAACTCACCGCCATCCCGGGAGGTCCAGGAGAGGATGTGGCCATTGCCTCGCTCTCAACAGCTGCAGCAGAAACTGCCACAGCGTCACACAAGGGTCCATTGCTGGGCGAGCGCTCACGCCATCCCAGGGGTACCTGTGTGTAGCGCAGCGGCGGTGTTGGCAGCTCCCGGGGGCGGGGGCTCCATGCGCGGCCCCACCGCCCCCCAGGCCCGGGCTCCGAGGTGGCGGTGGCGGCCCAGGAAGCTTTCATTTTGCCACAGTTGTGGAGGAAAGAGTTTTCATGGCACTAGCTAAGGACAGTGAGGCAGCTCTAATTCAGGGCACCACGGAGACTGGTGTAGGGACCAGCACCACGGGGCCTGTGGGGGGGAAGGGGGACTGGCTCAGCTCCGAATACAACAGGGACAAGTGGGGATCACAGCCAAGGAGCCGGGTGTGTGTCTGGAGTGGCGGTGGACTGGACATGACTGGGAGCAAACATCAAGGCCAGGGGCATCCTGAACGGGATGGACTCAGCAGGATTCTTGCTGAAGGCAAGCTCAGGTGATCGAGGTGGGGCGGGAGGAATTTGATCAGATATCCAGGGTTGGCGGGGGTTGCTAAAGCTGAACTAACCACGCAGGGACAGACCCAAGGTCAGGCCTTGAGGACGGAGAGAAGCCCAGCTAGCGCTGGGTCAGGGAGAGAGACCCCGCTCACTGGTATTCAGAAATCGAGAGGCCCGTGCTTGTTTAGGACCCATCGTCCGCAGATGGCGAGCCTGGGTTCCGGGGCTTTAAACTGCCGTTTGGAAGCAGGGTGTGGGGACATCTGTGCTCCAGAGCCAGCCATGCTCTCTTCTGAGTAACTCCCAGGTTTAAAACTGGGGAGACCCCTCCCTCCCTCCCCAGCTTATTTCTTAGAAAGAAATGGGCACAGAGGAGAAATCGCACCACCCTTCTGCTAACGTCTTTTAAAAGCCTGTTTTTTTCTTAATTAAACAAACAATGAGCATGTATTATACGATCAGAAAAAAACGAGATACCGTCCTGGCCACATCCTGGTGAGTTTTTAGTCCTCTTCAAGTCCTCACGGCATAAAACCCCAAAACTCAGCCTCATCCTGAGCTGCTGTAGCAAGCAGGACAAGGCCCAACCTCACCGACGTGAACCTGTTTCCTCATCTAAGACACGTGGGTAAGAGTGTCCAAGAGCCTGCCGTGCAGCTGAGGTGGGAAAGGACCATTTACAGAAAGGGCTTAGCTTGATGTCACACACACAGTGACCTTGCTGTCGGGCAGGGAGAGGGCTGGAGCTGGGAGGAGATGCACCTCGGGAGGCCAGCGGCCAGGCTGGAAACCTGGGTGCCTCACTGGGGATGACAGGTTGTGAGCAGGAATCAGGGTGCATTTCATTCAAAGTCTTCTCACTTCTGCTGGGTTATGTATCACCAGTTATACCTGTAAATTTTGAAAAAAAATGATTGTTTTTACCAGGATGCTTTAAAGATAGCAGAGCAGAAAGACACAATCCTTGAACAAGCTGAGGAATTTACCGCCTGCATGACTAAGCAGGTCATCACTGAGCCCCAGTTCCTCCTTTGAAAGGCAGGCCTGGGCACTGCAGAGGAACCGAGAATGAAGGCAGGGACCGTGGAGGTGGTGGCACTGCGAGCATTTATGTCTATTTTCACAGGACACTAAGGACTCGGGGTTTGGCCTCAGCCTAGACGAGAATCAGAAAAGCAGCCTAATTTGACCGTGAGTGTAAACCTCCCCAATGTGCTGAATTTTCAAGGGGCGTTGATAATTTAAACACCTTATTTCGTCCTCGGAGATGTCCTGAGAGGTAGCCGAAGCAGTGGCTCTCTGCACCACCTTACAAGGAAGGGGACAGCACAAAACAAAAGCGAGCCTCAAGGCTGTCATGCTTTTAATTCAACTCTGTAAAACGACTGCGTGCCTCTCATACAGGAGGCTGGGGGGGGGGGTAGGTGCGGGGAGGGGAGCGGGACACAGACGACCCGCGTGCGATTTCACTTGTTCTTTCCGCAGACGTGCACTGGGCGCCAGTGATGTGCCGGGCCCGTTCCAGGGCTGGGGATAAAACACTGACAAGACCATGTTCCCCTCTCATGCGGCTGGCATTTTAGTCAGAGGACACAGAAAATCAACAAATAACTAAGACAAACCCATGAAAGTACAGAAGGCCCAATGGTGATGAGTACCCTGAAGTAAGAAAAGCTGCGGGGTGAGACCATGGGGACACGTGAGCTCCGGGGCGCCCCCGGCCAGGCGGGCGTCCACCTTCACACCCAAGGCCGGGCTCCCGGTTAAGCAGGTTCTCTCAAGCTCTCCCAGCTGGCGAGTCTGGAGCCCAGGGCTGTCCGACTCCAAGCCGGGGAGGCTGCGCCAGGTTTTGGGCCCCTCGGCTGCATCTTCTGCGGGCCTCGCGGGCGGGGGGCCGCGGGCGGGGAGGGCGCCGGCTGGCGGTTCACACGTCCATCCCACACCCCGCGGGACGCACTCCGCCGTCCACAGGAGCCGCCTGCTGAGCAATGCCAGCTGCTGCCCCGTCACAACCAGCGACCATCGGGCCGCATGCCCAGCCGGCGCCGTGAAAGCCAGGGGGCCGGAGCCCAGATTCGGTTCCGAGCGCGGGGCCGGCCTGGGCGGAACAGGGTGGAGGGGAGCCGGGTCCCCTGCCCACGGCCGCAGGGAGTGGGGAAGAGAAACTGCACTTGACCCTGCTTCCCGGGCGCCGTGGCCTCGGGCCGGCCTCTGCGCGTGGACCCGGCGGGGCCGCAGGGCTGAGTCACGGCCGGGCTGCGCGGCCCAGCGGGCCTTCCGGGGGGCTGGGCTTCGGGGTCACATGGGGGCTCTGCCGGTCCTGTCCGCGAGCCGGGGCGGTGGGCACAGAGGAGTTGCCGGGCCGCTCCCCCCAGGGGGCCCCAGGACCCCAGCGCGAGTGCAGTCGGCTAGGGCGACCCTTGCCTTGCTCATCACTGTTCGGGAGGAATCGACCTGGGGCGGGAAGGGTGCGTTCGGGGCTGGCTCACTGTAGAGGCGGGAGAGGCGGGGCGGAGAGCGCATCGGGTCCGCCTCCGCCCCGCCCCCCAGCAGCCAGCTGGTGGTACAGCCCGAGGCCCCCCCGGCTAACGCTTTGGTAGCGCCCGGCCGCCGCTAGGCCCCGCCCCCGGGTGCGCATGCGCGGCGACGTGTGCGCCGGTCGTGACACATCCGTGCGCAGGTAGGCGCCGGGCGGGGGGCGGGGTCTCCGGGTCCAGTCGGCGTGTTCTCGTGGAGTTGAGAGCCCCCAGTCCTGGCGCGGAGGAGCCCCGAGTTCCCCGCGTGCCGCCCGCGGGACTTGGCGGCCCTGCCTGGACTGTGGGCGGTGGGACGGGGTCCAGCTCTCCTTCCTCAGGTGTGCAGGTGGGCCGGGCGGGGTGTCCGGTCGTCCCGTCTGCAGGCGGGGCGGGCAGAGTTCCGGCAGCTCCGCGCGCAGGTGAGCCGGGCGTGGGCTCAGGCCGCGGTTCGGGCCGCGGTGGGAGGGGTGCAGCCGGCCGGCCCGCGGGCAGCGAACCCGAGAGAGGACACTGGCAGACGGGCCGAGACCGTCCACGGCGTGCTCTCTGTGGGACTTGTTTATATTTTCTGAATTTTGTTTGTTGAGCGTGTATTTTAATTTTGGAAAAATATGTTTACAAACTGTCGGAGTATAATTCTCAAAATGTTAGAAACGTAATTCCTGAGCAAACAGGGAGCACAGGTCAGGTTACATCGCCTAGGTAGGACCCGGCGGAGGAAAGCCCGCCGGAGGCTGCCACCAGGAATGCTGGTCGGGGAGGGAGCCACTGGGATTATCCTCTGGGGGGAGAGGGGCGTTACGGCCCCTCATCACCCTATCAGTGTTGCTGGGTTGACCTCACAGACTGAAGTCTGGGCCAGTCCTTGCTGCTGTCTCCCCTGGAAAGTCAGGTGACCCTCAGGGGCTTGTGAGCGGTGACCCAGCGCAACATCAAAAAGCGTGCCGTTTCCCTCTTTCTGACCACATATCCAAGTTTTGGATTTGGTTAGCCCCCAGTGAACGGAAGGAGCTCACAGATGCTCGGCGTCTGTGTCAGAGCTGAAAAGGTCCTGGTGACCGGACTCCTGTCCCCGGGTCGGGGCTGCCTGGCCACTGCAACCCTGGAACCCACCCTCTTGTTAATTTCCTAAAACGCCCGGTTCAGTTCAGTAGAACAGCTGAAACTACCAAATCTTGTAAAACGAAGAGCAAGATGAGGTTTGTAGATGGATTTTTTCCCAGGGAAAATGGAGGCCTGTGGAGCCGGGACGGGCTTTCCAGCCGCCAGGAGCCCGTTCCCCCACGGCCGCGGCTCCACCACCGCTGAGACGCAGGGGCTGCGGGGCGGGGCTCCGAGGACCCCGGACTGGAGGAGCGGGGGTCCTGGCTCTGCGGCTGTGCGGGGACGGGGACGGCGGCCTCAGGAGACACGAAGAAGCCCTAGGGCTGGGCTCGGGGTGAACGGGGTGACCCAGTGCCCCCGTGCCGGGACGGGTGAGGGGTGTGGTCAGGGTGGGTGGCTGCCGAGCCCTGGAGCGCTGCCTGCCTCTGGTCTGTGCCGCGTTCCGGAGCAGGGCCTGGCCACGCCCTGGGGTGCCCCCTAGCCACGGGGCAGCCGGGCCACCGCAGGGCTCTGGGGGGGCCGCCTGGGTTGCTGCGGACCCCCACCCAAGGCCTGGCCTCGTCCCATCATGGCTCAAGTGGGTCACCCACCTCGCCTCTGTGTCCCTGGGACCCAGGGCGACAGGTTGGACCAGACCAGCTGGCCCAGAAGCTCTGTGGAAGCGGCTGTGTAGGAGGGTGTGTCCGAGGCGGGTTTGAGCAGTGATCCAGATGGGGGAGAGTTGATAGGGTTTGAAGGGCGGCGGGCATTGGGTTTTTACAGGGAGTTGTTTCTGTTTCTGTGATGGCCCCGAGCGTTCCGCCGCCACTGATCGGTCTCAGCTGAGTATTTCAGCGTCTGACCTTAGCCGGCCTGCATTTCTTTCTGTAGAAAGGTTACTAGAAGGCGTGAGGACCCAGAAGCCGGGCTGAGGTTTCTCGGTGGTGAATTTGAGATGACGGTGGTTTTTCCTGGGTCTCTGGGGCCTTGGAGCCTTCCTCTGCCTTGGGCCTTGGCTCTGCGCCCCGGCCTCCACCCTGGCTGGGCCCACGCTTCAGAAGCAGGCTTCTCCCGCGTGCTCGGAGCCTGAGGCTGGCGGGCGGCTCTTCGTGCTGTAGCCTCGCTTGTCCACTCTCCGTCCCCTCTCAGGCCCTGCCCCGGCCCTCAGGACCCCACGTCTGTCTCCTTGTGCCTCTTGGTAGGAGGAGGAGGAAAAGGGCTGTTTCAGGCTTTCTCTCCAGGATAATCAGGGTTTGTTGGATTGGCTCACATTTAAAACCACCTGCGGCGCACAGAAGAGCCTCTCAGGTCTTCAGGACGCTGCCTGCTTTAGGAAAAGGAAGCCACTAAACCCTCCCTCCTTGGAGTCACAGGATCTTACATCTGGGGGGACTGGAATTCACGCCGGTTCAGTGGTTCTGCACCAGCTTAGAGTGCCTGGGCACATAAGAAACACCCAAGCCTGGCCCCGCCCCAGGGCAGCGAAGTCAGGACCCTGGGAGGGGGCCTGGGCATCGTCCTCGGTGTGGGAAGGACAGACGAACCTGCAGGTGATCTAATGCACCTGGGCCCAGAGCTCTGCGTCCTGATCATGGTCCAATCCGAGGCCCCACTGGGTAGCTTCTTGATTTGAGGCAAGTAACTAAACCTGAGCTCTCTTCTTTCCATTGGAAATGTACGATTCCCTGTTTAGCAGGTTAAACGGCCTAACTGAACGTGCCTGGCACGGAGTAGGTACTTCATATTAGCACCTGGCACCCACTCTGCTGTATTTATGTGTATTTTTCGTTCCTGTAGTCAGACACTGGAGTCCTGTTTTCCTAGCTTGGAAATAGTGGAACCAAGATCAGAACCCACTGTTTTGTTCTTTGGTCCCAGTGCCCTGGAGTCCCCCCAGCCTTCGTGAAGGGGCACCTATACCAGCCACTCGCCCTGGGCAAGCTTGAGTCATTGTTTCAGTCAGAGCTCTTCAGAGTCATGGGGACCCTCCCGTTTCAAGGCAGAGGTTCCACAGGAGCGTAGCGATGCAGTCGTGGCAAAATGGGAACTGTCACCCAGACCGCGTGGCAGGCTTGTGGAAAGGACAAGGTGAGCTTTCCGGAGGAGCCTGTTTCTCGGCACTTTCCAGTTTGCGCAGCGACCCTTTGCATGGGGTTAAGTTCTGATGGTGCGGCTCCCTTCTGCCCAGCACTGAGACCCCCTCTCCCTTCCCAGTATTTGCCCCTGACCCCGCCCCCATCAGCTCCACAATACGGGACCAGATGCTTCTGGATTCTGCTATGAGAGGCTCAGTCAGGTGTGGCCACAAGAGGAAAGCAAAGCTCGTTATGCTCTCGGGTCCTAGAGGCAGGGCCACGCCGGGCACGTGTGGGGATGGCCAGGGGGTCAGGGGGCAGAGGACAGGACGGAGGGTGGGGATTGAGGCCACGGCCTTTACTGGGGTTTCCAGGGAAAAAACAGGGTGGGGTGAGCACATAGGATTGGCTGCTTTTAGTGATTTTGCCGGGCTTTGGGTGACAGGGCTGCCCCGAGCCGCCGGGCACCGGCCCGGGTGTTTTGGGCAGAGGAGGGTCACCTCCCCAGGGGCGGGGCAGGCGGAGGAGGCCGGGCCTGGCCGAGCTGTTGGCATAGGTCACAGGCGGGCTTCTGGCTGGGCCCTTGGCTGGCGGGGGCTTGTCTCTCCCCAGCCGGGGGGGACTTCAGATGTCAGAGCATCACAGTAGACAGAAATATACACACACACACACACACATAGATGTACACACACGTACTCCCCTAAGTGCGGAGCTTGCTGTCCAGTGTAGGTGAGGGTCCAAGGAGCTCCGGAAGGGGCGCTGGCTGGCAGTGTTCCCAATGTGGGTTCCGGAAGCACATCCTCCTCTAGGTGTGCTCTGTCTGGGGGACTTTGTGGGCTGTCACTGCCACCACGGGGGGCATCCACTGGAGAGTCGGGACCGTGTCTGTTTCCTGCCCCGTGCACGCCTGCCCCTTCCGTTCCTCGTGTCACTTTCTCTCGTGCTCCTGTCCCACCAGCGGGTGTTCTCTTGCTGTTTTTGTGTCACTGAATGCACATAAGCTTGAGGAGAAGAGTTGTTAACATCCATTTTGTGGTGCTGGAGCAGCCTTGCGTCCCGGCTCCTTTCAGCCAGCAGAGGGTCAAGGCTCTTTTCTTTGTCCAGGTGGAGGATGGGCGCATGAGGGTCCCGGGGCCGTGGCCTGGTGCAGCGTGTGGACCCCGGCCCAGCCTGTACGACGTCGGCAGCATGAGCCTCCCAAGCAGCGGGCCGGCGGGCAGCATCTTTGACCTGGACTGCACCTCCGGGCAGGTCCGCTGGGCGCTGGTGGCCGCCGGCTGCACCTTCTACCTGGGCGTCTTCGTGGCCTGCCACCAGCTGTCATCCTCCCTGAACGCCACCTACCGCTCCCTGGGGGCCCGAGAGCAGGTCTTCTGGAACCTGGCAGCCACGCGTGCAGTCTTTGGCATCCAGGGCACCACGGCGGGGCTACGGGCGCTGCTGCTGGACCCCGTGCTCCAGGCCGACAAAGTGCTCGGCCAGCAGAACTGGTGCTGGTTCCACATCACCACGGCAACTGGATTCTTCCTCTTCGAGAACCTCGCGCTCCACGTGTCCAATGTGCTGTTCCACACATTCGACGGGTTCCTGGCCGTCCACCACCTCTTCGCCTTCCTCGGGTTTCTCGGCTGCGTGGTGAACCTCCAAGCGGGCCACTACCTGCCCATGATCACGCTGCTCCTGGAGATGAGCACGCCCTTCACCTGCATCTCCTGGATGCTCCTAAAGGTAGGCGCTCCCCAGACGGCATCTGTGCTCCGCAGCGGGACGTGAGCGGCTAGTGTGGCACCTTCATCCGCTTGATGCCCGTGTCGCTGGTCCCTTGTGGCCTGTGCTGTCACAGCATCACCAGGCTGGATTAGAGTATTACAGTCCGTGAGAAGCTCATTTTCGTTGAATTCCATTTTAATCATTTTAAACAACTCTTTTAGGCTTCCTGCCCCATCGCAAAAGAAGACTCGGTGGATCGTGTGTCTTACTCAGTAACTGGCAGTATTTGTAAGCCCTAGAAAACATGCTTTTTCTTTGTTTCAGATACTTTTTTTTTTTTTTTTTTTTTGCGGTACGTGGGCCTCTCACTGCTGTGGCCTCTCCCGTTGCAGAGCACAGGCTCCGGTCGCGCAGGCTTAGCGGCCATGGCTCACGGGCCCAGCCGCTCTGCGGCATGTGGGATCCTCCCGGACCGGGGCATGAACCCGTGTCCCTTGCATCGGCAGGCGGACTCTCAACCACTGCGCCGCCAGGGAAGCCCCTCAAATACTTTTTTTAAAAAAACAATATGTCTACATACATATCTTCTAAAATTTTTATTTCACATTATGTTATCTTACACCCAACATGAGATCTGCCCTCTTCACAAACCTTTAAGTGTCCAGCATGTTATCGTCAGCTGTAGTCACAGGTGCACAGCAGGCCTCTGGAGCTTATTCGTCTTGTATGATTGAAACTTCACTCCTGTTGGTCAGTAACTCGCCGCTTCCCCTCCCTCCAGCCCCTGGCAACTGCCATCCACACTTTGATTCTAGGAACTGGACTATTTCAGATGCCTCATCTAAGTGGACTCATGCCATATTTCTCTTCTGTTCCTGGTTTATTTCGCTGAGTGAATGTCCTCAAGGTCCAGCCATGTCATTGCACATTGAAGGGTTTCCTTCTTTTCTCAGGCTGAACAGGTTTCCATTACGTGTGTGAAGCACATCTTCCTTGGGTGTTTCAGTCTTGGTTATTGTGAGTGAACGTAGAGGTGCTAATATCTCCTCCACATTCTGATTTCGGTTCCTTTACTGGGTCATCAGGTAGCTCTGTTTTTAGAAAATAACCCGCCCCCACTGTTTTCCGCAGCGGCTGCGGCATTGTGTGTTCCCACCAGCAGTGCACAGAGGTCCACTTTCTCCACGTGCTCACCAAAGCTTGTTGTCTTTGTTTCTCTGATGACATCTCACTGGCTTTTGATTTGCATTTCCCTGATGACCGGTGACAGTGAGCATTTATTCGTCTATCTGTTGGCCATTTGTATGTCGTCTTTGGAAAACTGTTCAAGCCCTTAGCCCATTTTTAACTCAGATTCTTTGTTATTTTTTACTGTTGAGTTGTAGTTCTTTATACATGTTCAAGATTAATCTCTTATTACACATATGGTTGGCAAATATTTTCTCCCACTTTGTAGGTTGCCTTTTCACTCTGTTGATTGTTTCCTTTGCTGTGAAGAAGCCTTTTAGTTTGATGTCCCAATTGTTTATTTTTGTTTCTGTTGTATGTGTTCTTGGTAACATATTCATGAAATCATTGCCAAAACGAATGCCATGAAACCTTTTCCCTATGTTTTCTTTAAGGAGTTTTGGGTCTTGCATTTCCGCCTTCAAGTTGATTTTTGTGTAAGGTGTGAGATAAGGGTTCAGTTTCATTCTTTTGCATGTGAGTGACCAGTTTTCCGAGCAACACCCGATTGAAGGGACTACCCCTTTCCTGCTGTGAGTTTTGGGCACCCTGTTGAAGATCAGTTGGCCGTGTCTGTGTGGATGTTTTCTAGGCTTTCGATGCTGCTCCACTGGTCTGTGTGTTTGTATGGCAGTTCATGCAGCTTTGATTTCTGTAGCTTTGTAATATCGTTTGAAACCAGGAAACCTGGTGCCTCCAGCTTTGTTCTTTTTCTCAAGATTGATTTGGCTATTGGGGTCTTTTGTGGTTTCATGTGAATTTTAGAAATTTTTTTTGTTAAAAATGCTACTGGGATTTTCTCGGAGGTTGCATTGAACCTGTAGACTGTAGATTACTTTGGTGACCTCCCTAGTGAGTTTTTTTTGTTTTTCGTGTTTTTTTTATTTTTGGCTGCGTTGGGTTTTCGTTGCTGCACGCGGACTTACTCTAGTTGCGGCGAGCGGGGGCTACTCTTTGTTGTGGTGCGCGGGCTTCTTATTGCGGTGGCTTCTCCTGTTGCGGAGCTCAGGCTCTAGGTATGCGGGCTCATTAGTTGTGGCTCGCAGGCTCTAGAGCGCAAGCTCAGTAGTTGTGGTACACGGGCTTAGTTGCTCCATGGCATGTCAGATCTTTCCAGACCAGGGACCGAACCCGTGTCCCCTGCATTGGCAGGCGGATTCTTAACCACTGTACCACCAGGGAAGTCCCCCTAGTGAGTTTTGTAGTTCAGTTATTGTATTCTTCAGCTCCTTGATTTCTGTTTGGTACATTTTTGTGCATTTCCGTCTCTTCATTGACATTCCACTTGTTCCCATGTGTTCTCTTGACCTCAGCGAGCACCCTTATGACAGACGCCTTTAATTCTGTCGGGTATGTCGTGTGACTGCTCTCCGGTAGGGTTTGGAGGTTTGTCTCATTCCTCAGTTTGGAGCGTCTTTGCCTGATTCTTCATTTTCCGTGACTCTGTTTGTGTCTGTGCATTAGACGAAGCAGATGCCTCTCCCTGGCCTCGTGACTGTCCTCACACAGGAGAGATCCCACCACTCAGCCTAGCCAGGGTCCTGGAGGTTCTCCATTGACTTTCTCCCTCCCCAGGGAAGGGCAGGCAGCTGTGGCTTCTGTCTGCTTACACGTCCAGTCCTGGGTGGGGCAAGGCTGTGTGTCCACCAGCCCAGGCCACCGCCTCCTCCCCCTCTGCCAGCTGGACTGTGGGCCAGCGGCCAGGGAGCCCCCCGAACAGCTGGGGGGCTGGGCACGTGAACCAGCTCCTCCCTCTTCTGCGTGAAGCTGCGGGCCGACGGTCTCCTCCTGACCCCAGGGTGCTGCCGGGGTCCCTGCCCGCTTCGGCAAGTCTGTCCCGGGTGCAGGCCCCTTTCGATGGGCCCGATTCGTCACGACAGAGTTTGTGAACTCAGCCAGGCCTCCTCCTGGGGCCCCTCACGCGTCAGGGGCCCGGGCGGAGGTCTCCGGAAGCCCTTCCCCAGGTGGGGTGGGCCCACTGCTCAGGAAGAAGACAGACCCTGGCTGTGGGGCGGCCACCAGAGGGAGGCACTTTGTTTGGGGTTTTTTCTGTTTTCTCTAAAGTGTTCGGGTGCCATTTGTTCAGGATGGAAATGGGTGGTCCCAGAACCCACTTCTTCCCGCTCGCCGCGTTCACCACGTGGCCCGTGACCCCACGGCAAAGCTGTCCCCTCGGCTAAGACAGCCCAGGGCCCGTGTGCCTACACAGCCATGGTCTTGGTCTAGTTCAGATACTACTGAACCTTGTGAGTAAACGCCGTGTAAAACGTTGAAATCCTTTAAGCTTTTCATAAAGCTGCCAAGCTCCTGCTTAGTTGGGCATCAGGGTCCAGGAGTCCTCACCACCGGAGTCTGATTTGATGAGATACAGACGGATGTCAGGACCCGGTGTCACCACTAACTTAACGTAGTTTACACCCCAGACGGGCTCATGCTTCCATTTCCTCCTCCAATTTGATTCTGAAATGTTGTTTAGAAATAATAATAAATGAATTATACACTCAAACATCTAAACATGATTCATCCACGGAGACACTAGTCCAGATGCAAACGACGTGGTATAAAAAACAGTCAATTTATGTGTAAATAAGTATATACCAGGGACACTACTTGCTGGGACCCCAGCTATACAAAGTAACCTTTGCACGGTTAAGACTCACTTTGTTACTGACCCTGCTTTTCTCAAAGCATTTGGTGATGTTGAACCCAAAAATTTCAGTGTCTGAGTAGGACCAAAAATGCTCACTTCTCAAGCCTGGAGTTTTCTAAACTTAATGTAATCACTGTATGAGTAGAAGTTCATGCTTCTGGTATGAATATTAGGAATTTAGGATGGCTGCTTTTAGTAAGTGGGCAAGATAACGGAGAGGAGTACATCTTGTGAACTTTGAAGGAAGCAGCAAGTGGAAAGAAGATGGCGTGCTGGCCAGTGCCTGCAAGGTTGGAAGGGTGAGCAGTGCCCCGGCCCCCACGCACATGTAGCTCACGCTGCAGTTTGTGTGTTCACCCCGAGACACACTTAGCTCACCTTCCCACTCGACAGTTTGTACGTTTAACGTCCTTCAGGCCAGAGCAAAGGCTAAATCTTTCCCACGTGAGGAATCTATCATGGAGAACCTCAAACCTCAAGTGTTTCTGCGTTTGAGAAACACCGTTTTTTGGTCTAATTGCACAGTTCAAGGAATTTAACTTGTATAAGTCATGATTCTAGCATAACGTGGAGAATGCCTACCCATGCAATGAGTATAAAACTATTTCTGTAAAACTGTGGTTTTTTTCCTAGTACTCTATGGTTTTCTTTTCCTTTTACATTGATATTTAGTCCATTTGGAAAGTATTTTTAAGTAAGATCCAACTGGATTTTCCCAGGAGGTGAGCAAGGATCCTAATGTAATTACCTTATCCATCCTTTCCCTGGGGGTTCGAAATGCCGCCCAGTGCCAACTCTCCGTGTATTTTATTCACTTCTGCGTTTTGCATTGTTTATCTGTTATTTCTGAAGCATCATCGTATCTCATTATTTGCTGAGGCACCTTCAGCCCTCCTTGCTCTCGTGCGTTTACTCCACTGCATGAGTGGCTTTACTTAAAGTTGTTACAAGTTGATAAAAATACTGATGTAGCCTCTTATTTGGACTAAATCTGTGGACGCATTCAAGCAGGGAGGATGTAACGTCTTCTGGGTGTTTTCCATCCAAGCACATGATAACGTGCCTCGTTTCATCCAGACTTCTTTTAAGTCCCTGTGCGGTGATGGTCTCGTTCCCAGAAGGAGGGGAAATGTATATAAAAAGTTGAAGAAGTGAGGTCCGTCATCTCCTTCGTTTACTTGCCTCCCTGCCTTGCAGACCTCTGGGTCGCCCAGAGGCGGATCATCCAGGCAGGAGGTTGGGTTCTTTTTGCAGGATCTTAGTCCCCCGACCAGGGATTGAACCCGTGCCCTCGGCAGTGAGAGCGCAGAGTCCTAACCACCGGGCCACCAGGGAATTCCCCTTTCTTTCTCTTTTAAAATGTGGTCACTCCAGAGGTCAGTTGCTGTGTCCCCCTGTGGCTCCGCAGGTGCGGCCGCAGTGAGGCCATGCCCGTTCCCAGCGTCACCGGGCTGCTGCCTGGCGAGGCGTCCCCACCTTCCCCCTTTCCTCCTGCAAGTGCCAGACGTGCCCCTACCCTGGGGAGGCGGTGTCGGGGCGGGGAGCTGCCCAGGAGGACGCTCCAGCCCGGGCAGAGCGCAGCGGGGAGAGGCCGGTGTGCACAAGCTCACGGGTCTGAGGTGTGTGGGCTGTCCTGGTACCTGTTGTCCTGGTGCCGGGCTGTCCAGGTGCTGACGTCCCCGCCACAGTGTCCCACCTCTGTGCCCACAGTCTGCTGTATAGCATTTTCAAGTTCCCTGTTTGGTTTTAGCTACAGCTAGCTTTAACGTGAATTTAGAATAATTTTAAGGCAAGTCCATTTGGGCTTGTGTCCAAGGTCTGCTGGGGTAAAAATACCGAAAAACAAAGAAGTGAGGACACACATCTCATCCTGAGCTTGTTTCCTCTGAGAGCGTTTGCCCCCGGGGCCCGGCGAGCCTGGTTGGACACGACCAGCGTGTCTTCCAGCTTCTCTGGGTCAGCGTTGGGTAGTTGGGTAGTTAGTTGCTCGATGTGTGCACGGTCGAGGGAAGAAGCGCTGGAGGTGAGCTTGGAAGGTGTGAACTTTCCTTCCGGGGGCGCAGGCCAGCAGGAGGCCCGCGCTGGGTGGGTCTGCTGGCGGCTGGGCGGGGCCGGGAGGGGGCGGGGACGGGGTGCGGCGTTGTGAGCCCGAGTCCGCCCGCCCTGACCCTGCTCTGCCCGCAGGCCGGCTGTGCGGACTCGCTGCTCTGGAGGCTGAACCAGTGGCTGATGGTCCACCTGTTCCACTGCCGCATGGTCCTCACCTACCACATGTGGTGGGTGTGCCTGGGCCACTGGGACGGCCTGGCCCGCAGCCTCTTCCCGCCGCACTGGGCGCTCTTCGTGGTCGGGCTGGGCCTCCTCACGGTCCTCATCAACCCCTACTGGACCCGCAAGAAGACGCAGCAGCTGCTCAACCCCGTGGACTGGAACTTCGCGCCCGGCCGCCCCAACGGGCCGGCGCCGCCCAAGAAGACGAGGTAGCGGCCTCGGCCCCGACTGTCCCCGCGGCGCCGACCCCAGGCCGCGTGAGTACTGACTTCCACGTGGCGCCGAGTACCTACACCTGAGCGCGCCTCGGGGACAGAGTCCCGCCGTGGTGACGTCACGGCCCGATGTGCTCCTTCCCGCGAGCTTGGCCTGTCTGCGCCGTCGCCCCAAGGAGGGCCCGCGTGGACGGGTCGCACTAAAGCGTGTGTGCGTCTTATTCAACAGCCCCGTTATTTTTAGTGGGAGAGAACTGTCCCAAGAGAATATAATCCGGTCCCTTACCCTGTTGACATTCCCAGGGCTGAGATGTAAGCCGCGTCTCCGCAGCGCCATCTCGTGGTGAGCGCGGGGCATCGGCCTGGCTTGCGGCTGGGGGCGGCGGAGGGGTCTTCTCACCAGGGAAGCTCATCCGGCGAAGAGTGTTGTTTCCGTTTTGTGTTTCTCTGTTGACACAGTAAGAGAGGTGTTAGTAATCAGATCTGTCTAGATTTTAGAGCTGTTTTTAACTAAGTTTCAAACAGGTGCCCCGCCAGACCCTACCTAACCCCCTGGTTGGTGTCTCTCTGTAGGTTTCACCAGACCCTACCCCCTGGTTGGTGTGTCTCTGTAGGTTTCAAGTCGGGTCAGTGGTCACTCTCCCTGCGAGCTGTGGGTGGACCTGGCCCCTTGGAGTGCCCGGCTGCAGGGCCCCCTCCTCACCTCCTGGTGACGAGCCCGGGCACCACCTTTACCATGTGGGGCCCGGGTGGAATCTACACCCCGACCCGCAATTTTGTTGACGAATACGTACTGACATCTTATTCTTGCCACGAGTGGGCAATTAAAATGAAAAGCTCGTATTTACTGAAAGTGCCCTTGAACTGTTTTTGAAAAACACACTTATTGGTCGTGAGAATCACGTGTGCCTTGTGCCTGGTGTGTAACACGGCCCCTCGGAAGGGTGTGTGCTGATTTCTGGTACTGTGACTTGACTGTACGGAGGTCAGGAGATGTGATAGCTGCTTGTGTCATTTTGAGAAGTGTTTCAATCCTAGAAACATCCAGCAAACCGTGTCCCTGCTGAGACCCCTCTCCCCCTCGCCGAAGACCCCAGGCACCTGCCGCCCGCTCTCCCGTCCGCAAGCGGGGGGAGCCGAGCTGGCTGTGTTTCCAGCCGGTCAGAACTTTAATAAAGTAACCGATGTTTACAGAACCTGAAAGCATGTCCGTTCTTCTCCCTCAATACTGTTCACATTGCTGTGGAGGCTTTCTGTCTCGGTGATACAACTGTGATGATGAATCTTCACGTGCTCAAGGTTTGAACTCAGTTTAAGGTATAAAATATTTAATTTTTACGTGACCCTCACTGGGAATTTGACTTTCCCCGGGCTCAGTCTCTACATCCTTCATCTCAGTGAAGGTGCTTTTGCCTCCGTCCCGACCCGACTTCCCGTGAGGACCGCAAAGGCAGGGCGTTTGGTCAGAAAGGGGCTTTTGAGGCTTGTGATCCGGCATCCAGGCACCTTCGCTGCCCAGACAGGTGCTGCCTCCCGGGCTGTGGGTGCTTTGCGGGCTCCGCCCAGCCCGTGCACGGACCAGGCCATAGAGAGAGATGTCGGGGGGTGTGCAGGGGGGCGTCGGCCCCTGGCCCTCCTCAGACCCCGTCTCTCCGATCGTTGCGGCTCCGCCAACTGTCCCTGCTGCGGACCGCTGGGCTTTCCCAGGCGCCGCGCTGGCCACCGAGGGCTCCTCGGTTCCTGGCACGAACAGCTCTGGGAAGTAGGCACCGTCGATCCCGTTTAGAGCTGGGGCCTGGGGCTACGAGGTGGCGCAGGCGGTCAGTGGCCACGCTCTGACTTTAAAGCCGAGGCCCGTAGACTGCGTCTATGAGCACAGAAAGCAAGCGGCAGGCCCCGGCTGACCCTGGCCACCAGACCCAGCTGCATCCGCGTACGCAGAGCACTGGAGCACTGCAGTGTCTGTCCTGGTACCGCAGCCCCGCGGGACAGATGCCCGGCCGCTGGTGAGCGAGGCCGCGGCGGCGTCAGCGGGCAGGTACGGGGGTCCACCAGGAAGGGCAGTTAGGAAGTTAGGAAGTGGGAGCGGCAGCCCGGCTCTGGCACCTGGAAGGCCGGGGCCGCGGGAGACCCTCCCGGGACAGGGCTGGGGTCTCCGGGTTGGCCGAGAGGCTGGGCGCCCCTGGGGGGCCAGCCAGCCTTGTCTGCAGCACCGTGTCTGTGTCAGGGCCGGTCAGGTGATGGGGTGATGGGCTGGAATGGCTGTCACATACTTCGGAGTGTTGAAAGCAGCAAAGCAGGGGACCTGTCTCCTCTCCCTCCTGCACCAGCGCTGTGCACACGGCCGGGCTGGGGATCGGAGCACGGGGGTGGGGGGGGGAGGCGGCTCCAGCAGGCGCCCTCAGGCTCCTCCCTCCTTAGGCCCTGGGCTCACCCTCATCTGGCCCTTTGCGACGGAGTTCCCCACGTGGCCGGCTGGAGCCCCGCGCTGGGGGCAGCGGCCACGGGAGGAGGGGACTGGATGCCAGGTGAGCCAGTGCCCCCGAAGGTCAGACTCGTTTCTCGTTGTAAGAGTGAGGTTGACACCCAAAATAAACCCCCCTGAGTGACGCCCACCCCTTCATTGGTGCATGTGGATGCTTTCAGTTTACCTGTATCCTTACTAAACTTCTGCTCTAATGGGAAAGTTTATTAATTCAACGTTTCTCTTTTTAAATAACTCTTCCCCTTTTTCAGTGACTAGACTATACAGTACACATTGTCTTGCCAGGTCATGTTTAGTGAAGTGGAAATCTCAGAAGTCTGTTTTCTTCCTCTGATGGCTGGGAATGCAGTGCTCTGGATTGGACCCTGCCCGTCCGGGGCCTGCAGCTCTCCCCACAGCCCGGCCGAGCCCAGCTACGCAGAGCAAGGAAGCTGCACCGTGACACGCCGTCCCACACGACGGGAAGGGCCGTGGGAGCCGCTTCTAACGTTCTGCCCCGGGGGGCCCACGGCGAGGACCCACTCCTCTCTCACTGTGTGTATGTGTATTTCCCTCTTACTGTCGTGCGGTTTCAGTGTCAGGTGCTGGCCTGTGGAGGCCTGGGTGTTCTCTGTGCGTCTGTGTACCCTCCCCCTGCCCCCCCAATTCACATGCTGGCATCCTGACCCCCAGTGCGACGGTGTCAGGAGGTGGCGCCGGCGGCAGGTGACTAGGTCATGAGGGTGTGGTCCCGTGATGGGATCAGTGCCCTGACAGGACGCGAACGGAGAGCGTGTCCCCCCCGCTTCCCCTCCCAGGTGAAGCTGCCTCGAATCTGCCTCCACCCTGACCCTGCGCTCCCAGCCTGCAGGTCTGCGGTGACCTGCTGAAACAGCCGGGGCTGAGTCACTGGGTCCCCGTGACCTCAGCCTTTTCTCCCTGCGGCCCCCAACCCCCCAAGTCAAAAGTTTCCCAAAATTAACCCAGCATTAAAATCCTCAGTTATTAAAGAAAGGTGTTGAAGGTCAAGTCTTCTAATCTGGAAGTGCCCTGTTGACATTCTACTAGAAAACTTTTACTTTGTAAACTTCATAATATTTACTTGTATTTCAAACAGAACCACAGTTGGAAGGGGGCACGTTTCAGCCACAGTTTCTTTGGTTTGTATCGAGATCACCCTCAGCTCTTTTCCAAGAAATATGGAGCCTCTTTGGTCCACTCCAGAGATTTTATTTCCGCACAAGACAGACCAAGAGCCCAGAATGTTGGAGCCTTCACGGATTTTGCGCAGAAAGCCAAGCTTCAGAAAGTTCAAGGCCAGCCACGCCAGGACTCTCATTTTCCATCTTCCGGTAATTGCTTGATTGTCTCAAAATGAAACATGTATTCACTTAAAAAAAAAAAAGCTCAGAAAAACACTGCATTCACTGAAAATGATGGCTTACACTTTAATTTGGAGCCAGTTATCCAACCGTGGGTTAACCTTCATCAGTTCGTCCTTTGCCGGCTGGGTTTGCAGCCCCCTCGCCCTTCAGCGCCCCCGGGTATGAGGTGGGCTTGGGAGGGTGGGAGGGGTCCTGGGGGTGCATGTCTTCTGCCAAGCAGGGTAAGCCTGGAGCAGGAAGCCATCACCCCTTCCTGCGTCCTTTTTGCCTAACACGCAGTTTTGACGCCCACAGGTTCCCCCGCCCTTGTCACGGGGACAGGCCTAAGGCCCGGGAAGCAGGCGTCCCCGGGGGCATCTCTGCGCTGCTGCACGGCCCGGCCCGCCCCCTCTGGATCGCCTGTCAGGTGAGAAGGACTTTCTGCCCTGGAGTCCCCATCCCCACAGGAGGCCCAGTTACAGAAATGCGAACCAGAACCTTTTCATCCCACCGTGCTCATGGTCTTTCATTTGGGTTCAGATGAACAGCCTGTGACAGTTAGCCCTCAAGAGAGGGTGTTTCCAGTCTGAAGCTGCTGACCTTTTTTTTTTTTTTTTTAAATGCTTGGCTTTTAAAAATTTATTTATTTATGGCTGTGTTGGGTCTTCGTTTCTGTGCGAGGACTTTCTCTAGTTGTGGCAAGCGGGGGCCACTCTTCATCACGGTGCACGGGCCTCTCACTATCGCGGCCTCTCTTGTTGCAGAGCACAGGCTCCAGACACGCAGGCTCAGTAGTTGTGGCTCATGGGCCCAGTTGCTCCGCGACATGTGGGATCTTCCCAGACCAGGGCTCGAACCTGTGTCCCCTGCATTGGCAGGCAGATTCTCAACCACTGCGCCACCAGGGAAGCCCTGCTGACCTTTGTCAAAATCATCTTCGTTGACGGAGGGGAGACGGCGGTGGCGCGGGACTCAGCACGCTTCTCAGAAGCAAGGCCCCCAGAAGTGTGCTCTTTGTTCCATTTTATGTTTATCTTCAACTTTTTATTTTGAACTAATTTCAAACTTAGAAAAAGGTTGGGAAAATAGTAAATACAAACAACCCCATACACCCCTTACCTGGGTTTACCAATTCTTACCATGTTGCCGCGTGTTTCACCTGTCTCCCAGCTTCCCCGCATCCATCACCCCTCGATACTGCGTGCGTGAGCCTGTGACGGAGGACGTCCTCCTAAGTAGCCTCAGCTGGCGTCACCCAGAGAGACGGCACGGAGTCTGCACTTTGGTCTGATGTGCAGCCAGGTGGTTAGCTGGGTGGCCGCCCTGTCCATCCTCCTGTCCTCGCTCTCCTGGCCTGGACGCAGCCCGGGATCCCTGCGGCCTTCGGGTGTCACGTCCCTCAGCCTCTCTTTCTCTTCGACAGCCTGGGTATTTCAGAGGAATAGCAGCCAGCTGTGCAGTAGAAGCCCCGAGGGTGGGCGGGTCGGGAGCTCTGTCAGGATTGGACTCAGGGACGCATTTTTGGCTGGAGAACCAGGTAAGCGTCTCTGTCCTTCTTGGGCCTCAGACCCCGAGGCGTTACTGTGTGAAACTCGGTGGCCGGGTCGCGGTGTTGTCTGGTTCTCACTGGACAGTTGTCATCGTCCCTCTTGTCATTAATGAGGAACGTGTGGGGAGGTGGTGACACCGACGGTCCCGTGTCTGCACGGAGCCGCCTCCTGCCCCAGGTTTACCGTCCGCTCACAACCCCACTCTTCCTGCAATGCTCGCGGACCGTCAACTTCCCGAGTCCATCGTCCCTTCCACATTGATTAGCCACGTTCTGTCGTAAATAGAATCTTCCCACTTTTAATGCATTATCAATACGGGCTCATGGGTTCATTCCGTAGCTTTATTCTGTGCACAGCAGGTTGTAGGTTATGTGTAACTCCCTGTTGTCCTTATACATTGTCCCTGCTTTGCCAGGGGGGTTCAAGCTGCCCCCAGTGTCCTTTTTTACGCCCATCGTTGTTTTTGATTACCTCCCTGTTTTCTCTGCGACAGGATGCCCTTGCGCTGTGTTGTCCCTGTGCTGGATTCACCCGTTTCTCCGAGGACCTGGTTCTTTCGTGAGGAATGGTGTCTGGGAATCGGGACGTAAGTGTGCCACGTGCTCATTGCTAGCGGGTTATCACAGCCTCTAGGCCCTTCCGCCTCGCCCGCCCCGTCCTGCTCTGCAGGGACTCTGGCTACGGTATCAGTGAGGTCACACATGTGCACACAGGTGCAGAAGTGCCACCCGTGGACAGAATCCAACAACCGAGAAGAGTTTGCGGGATTTTTTCTTTATTCCGAGGGTGTACAGTCACAGTGCTCTGTGTTCAGTTACTTAACCTCCTCCTTCCCCACCTTGCCTTCAGGTGATCATGTTATTAGAGAGACAGTCCTGTGCACTTGTTTCTTTTTGCATTCAGTGTTAGGGTCTTCTCCAATTCTTGTTAATCTGGTTGTATTTTTTGCACATGTAGAATATTATCCAAAAGTCAAAC